TACATCCTGCCCTGTTTGTTGTTCTAAGATTTTATCTGATCCGTTGGTAAATGTAGTGATCTCTTCAGCAGTGCTACAAACAGTGGTATGTGATCACACCGTGTCTTAATGACAGAGCGGACCATGTGCTTCATTTGTTAAATCATGAGGACGTTTGGTATCGGCTCACTGACATACATCATTTAGACTCTAATGTAAACTGCAGTAACAGGGTACAATCAGCGTGAGTTTCCTGTCTTTAATCTTCCTCTTAGCAATGCTGGAGGGGAGAGCATCATTCAGACGGTGTTAGATTTCTGGAAAGAAGGAAAAGATCGAGAAGAGCTCGAGCTAAGAGACCTGGAAACACAGCTGTCTCTGTCGGTGTTCAACACCAAGAAGAGTGAGTATAAATGTAGTGATGACTTCTTTGTGTTCCTGCAGACTTGAGCTTCACTGTCAGTGAGAAACGAGATCTGATGCATCTCTTTATTTCTCTCTGTAGGCGGCCTGTGGCACACGAGTTTGATTGACAAGAACCTGGTGGACTTCTTTGTCCCGTTCCTGCCGTTGGAGTACCGACACGTCGTCCAGTGCGCCATGGCCGAGATGAAAGCGAGAGGAGTTCGTCCGGACCACAGCGTGGCCGAACAGGTGGCCAGTGATTTAGTCTACTTCCCCAAAGCGGAGAGAGTGTTCGCCGTCAAAGGCTGCAAGACGCTAGAGAGCAAGCTGGACTACTACACATAACGCCGGCACCTGATGGACGCTGGGGATCGAAACACTATGTGCACTTTTTTTTTTACAAAGAGAGAAACGCTCTCAGCTGAATGACTCGAGAGGAGGAAGTCGAGCTAGACTGAACTCTGAGGAGGTCTCTGCAGAGTTTTATCTGCCCTGACCTTGAGGTCTCGTTGAAGGTCTCAGCCGGCCTCCTCCGGTGCTGCTTCTCGCTTACACTGAATGAAGAGGAGAGAGCGCAGCTGCTGCCAGCTGAATGAAAAAGTAATAGGACTGGAAATGCAATCTTCTGGAGCTGAATCAAAGGCTTTTATGTCACGAGAGACTGAGAGTCTCTTAACCCTTTTTTTTGTATTCCTCAGAGGCGTCCTTCCATCGTGAATCTATTTCAATGTTCATGTGCTTTTTTTGTTTTTCTAAGTATGTCATCCATTTATCTGGATTTAGGATTGTCATGATACCAGAATCTTACACTTGGATACAACACTAGTACACTTCAAACCTCTCTGGTTACCATGGCAACAAAAATAAAAGTCCTAGGCGCCCAGTATTGGGTAATTTATTGCTTTTAATCACCAGAAATTGTGAGTAAACTGCTCCACACTGTCTTACACAAACGCGTTTGTTGCCGTTGTATTTGTGCAATTTAGACAATGTCATATCATCTGCACTCTCATCTGTTTGCGAGAGACATGAACGTAAATTTTGCGTCTTTGAGATGCAAAAACGGACTTGAGCAGCATCTGTATTTGCTGACCTGGGACTTTGAACGCACCATGAGTGAGAATTAGAATGCACGTAGTTTAAAAACATCTGGTATCCACAAGTGTTAAAATAGAGTCACTTTGACGGCCTTAATTCAGATTATCGGTTCACCTGCCTTATATTTTCCCGAATTTCTTTATTTTTTTTTAAATCAAACAAAGTTCTTAAAACGTGTCCACTGTGCATTTATAGAGTTATGATTCAACACGCCATGTTTTCAGGAGGGCTGTCACCACACCGGCTTTTTAAACTTTGATACCTTAGTAGTATGAACAAAAACAAATCCAACACCACAGCCAAAGAAGGACGTCTTACTACACAAAATGATCACAAACCAACACATTTGAAACATGTTTAGAAGTATCTAAAGCCATAGTTTGTAGGATAAAAAAAAATGTATTGTGTATTGTGTCAGTGAAATGTGAGAATGAGAGATTTAATCTTTGTGTGGCATCGAAAGGAAAGAATCAAAGAATGAAAACATGAGCAAGTTCTGCAGCCACATGTTTGTAATGTCTTATCTGATTAAAATGACAGAAGATCACAAATAGAATAATCCAGAAACTGAAGAGGACACACGTCTGGACAGTATATTTTACAGTTTTCACACCAAACTGCGTAACTTTTGGTTGATTATTTTACGATCTCGACTCGTTCTTCTCGTCATCTTCGGATAACAACGCTGGTTTTGTCCCCCGTGATGACGACTTTATTTCACTTAAGTTCTTAACATCTCCAGAAATTAGCTCGTTATCACGTCATAACCAGCGTTATGACCTTGAGGTAACGACATGAATAAGTCGAGATCTTGTCAAATCAACACCAAATGACTCGTTACCATGGGAACATGGAGTAAAATAAAATGTATGGATGTTCCTATGTGGAGTCACATGCATTGTAAATTTCCATTAATGTTGATGAACTCATGTTGATTATTTGAAGATGTCATTTGGCCTTACTGTTTTATTGTTTTTTAAACCTTTGTTCCAGAGTTTGGACGCCGTGTATGAACTCAGGATCCTGTTCCTCACAACACACACAGATGTCATCTTTACCAAAACTTCATTTTTTTTTTTAATCCCTAAATAACTCAATTCTGATGATATTGTATATTACAGAGTGGTTGATCCTACAAGATTTGAAAAGACAGCTTTTCAACCGTCTTGTGGCAGGAAGTGTTCTGATGTTTGCTCCTCTGTGTCTGATGAGCCACTGTTAGCTCTGGAAACAACATAAAGAAGTTGTGAATCTTCTGTATGTGAAGGATCTTTTAGAGGACTGTGAAAGAAATTGATTTGTGTGGATGGGAAAACAATCTTCTGCTGTTAAATTAAAGAAAAAAAAAAAAAAAAATTTTAAATTTTTCATGAAGTTTCTGTTACTGATGCTCACTTAACTTCAGGATAACAAGACAACTTCAAACCAAAGAGGGACAGTAAGGCGGCTGTGTTAGAGTCTGTTGTCTCTTAAAGAGGGACATGTTTTATATGCTCTTCAGTGTGTTGTACATTTCTCTTGTGCATCTTAAGGTTTATTGATGTGCAAAAATTCAGAGTCTGTCAAAATGTTGCTTCTCTGTCTCCTGAGAGAACCAGTAGGTGCATGAAACAGCTCATTCCCTAGAACTACAGAGCCATCAGGGGACAGGGGTGCAAAAAAGTTTTTGGTTTTTGGAAGTATCTCGTGCTCATGAATCAGTATTTAAGTTTTCCAAGAGAATATGCACGCGCAGTAATTCCTCATGAGCACCAGAACGTATGTTGTGAGCAAGAGAGTTTGGTTTTTTTGCACTTCAGAAACTTGTTTTTTCTGCCAATGTCCCCCTTTGGGCTCTGCAGAAAACATTTAACAAAGCTGCTCCAATGGAGATTTTGAAGCTTAAATAGCAGTAGTAGTTTAAATGAAGGGTGAAGTTGCTCAGTACGTTCTGTTTCTGAAATATCTAAACCCCAAAGGACACACTATTCAAGGGCAGACTGATGGATCAATAAAGAGCCTGTTGGTTCATGACTGAGTTTGTATAAACTTTGATCCAGCTTATTTTAAGAGCCGTACTATCACTGAGTGTATATTTAGAAGATCGAGAGCTAAATACACACAGAAGTCTAAAGTGACAGCAGCTCATTTGACCTGATAGAAGCGTGATGTAAGAATCAAACAGATTGCCAAACAGTGCAAAGTGCAGCTCCAGGCCCAAGGCTGAACAAAAGAGAGAGAGTTGTAATATCACATGCGTTCGCTGGCAGAGCTTTTTATTTGTGCCATAAAGGGCGAGGATGAGACGAGCCTGGTTTGTGTTTAACAACTATTCAAGAAGAACTAGAAAGAAAAATACACCAGTCATCATTTATAAGTCTAAAGGAATCAGTTAAAGTCTGATATTACTCACGCTTGTCCTGGTTTACTGTATTTGTGTTTATTTTAAGAGGTCTGATAAAATGCAACATAAAGACAGGTAGAGGCTCCAATAGAGGCTCCATGAATTGACACTGTTACCTCGTTTTCAAAAATGTTGTGAGCAGGAAACTGAAAAGGTTTTTTTATTGCAGGGTTAAGTCTTGTATGTTTGGCTACAACATAAAGCTTTCTATTGGTTCTTTGCTTTAGTGGTTCTCTACTGGTTTATCCTCAGGACTCACCAACTCCTGCATGAAAAATCACAACCCTAATTTCTGACATTCTTCAACCAGTCAGATTTATTAAAGAAAGATGGTGCCGTCATAAAAAAAAACATGTGACAGAACCAAAACTACTAAATAAGAAAACATGTTTAAAAAGCACTTTTTGATGTCGTTTTCTTTCCAGGCACTCATTCACACCCAGTGAAAATAGCAACAGATTTAAACCATTATATTAAAGAAACAGCTTTTCTTTTGATGTGTAAGTTTGACTTTATTAAAGCAGGTTTTAGTTTCACTTCCTGAACAAGCTTTGAGTTGAATTAAATCCTGGTGAAAGAAACCCAGCTCTGTCTTCTAGAAATCAGTCAGATGTATTGATTCAGTTGGTCAGAAAAGCCGATGTTGACTCCTCTACTGTCGAGTATTTAGTGTATTGAACAGAAAAGCAGGGATGAAGAAAATGTCAAATTTCCCCTTAAAGGTCACATATTGTGTAAAATACACTTCACCATGGTCTTCTATGTGTCTCTAACCTGTCTACAAACCCTAACCCTTTCTCCCCAAGCCCTTCCAGAGAGGGGGCGTGGTCAGACACAGCTCATTTACATATTTAAAGGTACAGACACAGAAACAGCCTGTTCTGAGCAGGGCTGAAATAGAGGGGTTTATAGACATGATCAAATTCCTTACATCTGTTATCATATATGTTTAAAGGAATCTTTAGCTGCTCGACTCTCTCCTTTTCCTCCACTTTTATTAGGATCATGGTCTTCACACTGGACTCACTTTAATCCGCCTGCTTTGTTTAGAGTCTGAAGAATCGGGATACTAACAAGGATCTATTCTGTGTCACTGTTTTAAGTATGCAAAGAAAGGGACAACAAATCCAACATATCTTGTGTGAAATCAGGTTTATTTAAATCATATTTAACACATCATTACCACGTTGTCCTTCTTCTTACATCCTCCTGTTACAAAGAAAACGTTCTGCCAGGTGCAGCATCAGCGACCTTCCTGCTGTTCCCAGAACATGAAGGTCATTGCTCGTCACATCTTCGTGTTGTTTGTAGTCATCGACAGTCCTCGAGTAAAAATACGAGTGACCAGGCACAGTCTGTATAACGGTCAAGAGTCTTATACGAGCAGAACTGCGTTGATGCAGCCATCGTTCTCTGGGTTGTTCGTCACCTGGGCGTATTTACCTGAGAAGAAACACAGATGTTTTAGTTCCCACATTATCACAAAACACTCTTTATTCTCTCTAGTCTTCTTCAGATAAACTCTCAGTGTTCATAAAGTTATTGCACTAAAGGCTCAACTCTTCATTTCTGAAATATCAACAAAAGTAGGAAGTAAACACCGAAGTGTAGATGATGTAAATAAACGAGGAAGTGACTCACCCCAGATGACTTTTCCTCCTTGTGTGACTAAGCCCAGCTCGCTGACATTGACCTCGACGACCGTTCCTTTGGTGATGACTCCCAGAGACGTGTAGAGAGGAGACGAGGGGTTCTTCTTCACCCCGAGGATGGGGAGGCAGAACGTGGCTTTCAGCTCGGGATGTGTGACGTGAGCTTTCTTAAAACGTAAACCCTGAAGCGGAACGAAGAGAGGGGAGATGAATTCTGCAACCTATATGTACCAGTTCTGCACATCACTAAACTTTAGACATTAACAGTGAATGTTTGTGCAGAATGAGATTTGAAGTAATGTTCAGAACATAAATCAAACATTTAGTGTTTAACGCGGTCTTACCATGGGTCTGATGAAACGCTCGTATTTTGGAGGTTTACGAGTGAAGCCGTCGCCGACAAAACAAACTTTGGTGACCATTCTCTTCCACGCCTTCTTCTGTCTCTTTCCAGTTTTGATGACTTTAAGCACTTCCGTCTCTCCCTGTGCTCGCACCTTGGGCAGCGGGACCTCCCATTTGCCCTGAACAAGAACATGACACACTTGTTTTGAAAACCAGAGCAATCAATTGAAGGCAGTTACATCGCCGGCATGAACAAAACACACATTTGAATGAATCAGTGGATGTTTTATTAGACAACCTCCACAAAAAAAAGGACTGTTGATTAGGTCTGGTACTTACAGCTTTCTCTTTCCTCTTCTGTTTGATCATGTTGGAGAGGACCTTAGCGCGAGACTGTCCCTCTCTGTCCAACAGGTAGGCCGGCACCGCTCCCTCTGGGGTCTTATCATCGTTCTTCTGCTTGGTCTTTCTCTGTTCATGCATTTTGATGCTGCAAAGAAATGAAACAGAATTGTTATTGATCATGATTTGGTTTTAAACAACGTCACCATTCATATCAATAAGCCGAGTGTTTACACTCACGTCTTCTTCATCTGGATCTTCTCTGAGTGTCTCTGTTTGTGGTAGAGTTTGGCCTTCAGACCGATCAGCTTCCTGGCTTTGTGCGAGCGCTCGTGAACCTCACGGCTCTCCTTCTTCCTCTTCTTTTCATGGTGGTCCAGGCGGTAGCCATGCCGCTTGCGGTGTAACTCAATGTGCTCGTTCTGAGGCTACAAACGGAAAAACAAAAGTCCGATAAGAGTACAATTAAAACCTGGTTTAAGCTTTGACAAAAGTGCAAATGCCTTGCTTTATGGAAGTAAAGAAGCTCCTATTTCTGAGCAAACAGCCCAAAAAACAGATACATGTAAAACAATAATAACATCTAAGAACCCAGGATTTCTCTATAAACGTAACATTAACTTCTTTAAATAAAGCTGCTTAACCCTCGTGCATCATTGTAGACATTTTTGTCCATTTTGATCTGCCCATCATTGTGGCTCTGTTAGTGCATATGGCACAATTTTATTTTTGTAAGAAAGTCTCTCTCTTGACAAATTTTGGATTTACAAATTTATAGTTTTCAAATAGATCAACAGAACACTGACAAAACTATTTACTACCCTCTTCAGTTATTGAGGACAAAATGTCCACTTCCAAAAATCTGCTATAAGAAAAGTACAGCTTCATATTTATTCCTCTTAACTGCATTAATATCTTCTGTTCAAAACTACCAAACATTCAATCATTTTGAGGATATTCTCATTAAAAAAATATAAGCATTATGTCATCAAACTGGCATTTAAAGGGTTCAAATCCTCAATATAATTGAATGTTTGGAGGTTTTGAGCAGGCTGAAGTGACAGATTTATGCAGAAATGTATTAATGTGTGTTAAGAAACAAAACTGCACACCGAGATTGACAAAACTTAAAAACATCCAGAATCCAGGCGACCTGTTTGAGCTGCTAAAGGGTTAAAGTTATTTTTATCCATTTCAAACGTCTGAATCTGAGAACCACTCCTCAATATTAGTAAACTAAGTATATGTTTAATATTCATCCTTTTCAACTAGATCCCTGCTTCTGGAGGATAAACAGTGTTATTATGAACTCTACACACGTCACTCCACCACATGTGAACCAGAGCTAATGCTAACACGACATGCTACCCCGTTAAACTACCAGATAACAGTCAAATAAATGAGTTAAACTCGGGTTTCCTCTTACCATCTTGTGCGGAAGGAGTTAAGGACCACGGAGAATACGTCGAAGGTGATAATAGGTGGTAACGGCGATGAATACTTGGTGTTTTGACTTGAGGCTGGGGTGCTGTAGATGTTGTTTTCCCCGGAGCCGATACTTAGAGGAAGTACGTCACAGTGACGTAACATCTTGTCCGTTACTTTTAAATGAACGGCTTCGGGTTTTTTTTTTTTTTTACAAAAGTTATTTTTTTCTATCAGATTCATTTTAAATACATATATTTAAATATGTAAGATTATTCAACTATTTTACAATGATGCTTGTCAAGTCGACTTAGTTTCCCACCCCGGTGTATCGCTTTGACGTGTGACCGTGTTGACTGGTGACTTCCGGCAGACACCGTCAGTGGTTGTCGTGGTTACAACAGACATTGAAAACTTAAAGCGATCGCTAAAACGGCTCTTTGATTAGTCATTCATTGAAGTTTAATTTGACATTTTTAGCTGCTGTTACCATGACAACACAGACTCATTCCTCAAGCCGCAGTCCCCAGTTAGCACGGTAACTTATCAAACCGAAACACCGGAATATTAAGCTTCACGTCCTTGTTTCTGGGGATGTATTTTGGAGCTGTACCTTATGAAAGCGTGACATTTGACAGCCAGAAAGAGTTTTATTGTATTGAAGGGCATTTTAACGCTTTAGTGGCTTTTAAATGAAGTTCATATTTATTGATTAGAGCCTTTAGACTTCCTGTATCCTGTATCACTTTCCTCAGCTGTGCTTCCAGTCTGCAGTCTTCTTGTCCCACAATGGTTCCTCTCAGGCTCGGATTGACTGTGAGGAGAACACTGAGCTGAATATGCCTCTTAGAGCCTCCTGGACAGTAAGCAGGATGCTTCGGGTAAGCTTTAATGTGCTCTCTGTAAAAAAACATTTCATGTGTTATTTTCAAGTTAACTTGGTTGTTTTCATCAACAGGGAAAGATTTTATTATCTGCTGGACTTCAGTGCTGCAGATGTGAAGTGAGCAGGAGTGTAAGAAGACATTACAGCTTCCTTCCAGGTGCGTTGTTTTCAAAATATCTAGTTTAGTTTATTTGCACATTTTTTTGAAAGAAAAAAAAAAAATAAAAAAAAAATAAAACACATGTGCAGGTGAGGTAGAAACAGAAACCCATGAGGGCTTATCTCAAAAACATCACCTGAAGAGATTAAACAAAGTTAAAATAAAATACAGTAAAAATAACAAAGTAAGAATATTTACTATCACTGATAAAATTTAACCAATTGAAAATTACATACAAACATTAAAAACATAAAAATAGAGCAGAACATACAGGATGAAGACAATAGATGTTAGATCAATACATGCTGACTTACCTGCTCTAACTCACTGATTGATTGATTGATTGTTCAAACATATAAGAACTAGCTGATTCCAGGTTCTAATCCAATACTTGACCAAATCAAAAACTTTAATTTAGTGTTAAATAATGCAATTATTGTCACACATTTGTTAGTCTTAGTAGTTGAGATTTGAAGTGGCTTTCTGTTTCTTGTAATTGTGCATTTTGTACACAAAACTTGAGGGTTGTAACTTTACACTCAACTCGTACTCGATATCACAATACTGGGTTCATGTTACGATTTTATTGCAAACTTTCGATCTACAGGAAGTTCCTTATTTTATTTCAAAACAAAAGAAAGGTTTTTATCCAAAGATGAAGTAAATCAAACCAAGCACAAGCCGTTACAAAGTATTAAATAAAAGCAAAACTAAAACTTTGTTCAAATGCAAAAGAACAGTTTTCAAACTGGATTGAAAAATAAAATAGATTCTGATTAAAACAATTAAATAGTGTAACTAGCTGCTGTGAATTTTCCTTCAATATTTGACATGATGATTCATCCTTTCACCTTTAAACACACACACAGTTTGACATTGAAACAGACTTAGCATAGCATCAAGGAGATAATGGTTGTTGTTCTTTATGTTCTCTGTCTTAGATGATGTGAAATCATTGCGCGCTGTGGTCAACCCCGATATATCCAAGTAAGTGATTTCATTCTGCATTCACTCGTTTCCTTTAGAAGATGTTTAGATTTAGCTCTGCTCACTTTAAGAGGTGAACTCTTTGTACATGCAGGATCAGAAATATCGGCATCATGGCGCACATTGACGCAGGAAAGACGACAACGACAGAGAGGATGCTTTATTACTCCGGCTACACGCGAGCACTAGGAGGTGAGTGATGTGCTTAAACATCTGTATTCTATCAACTTACCCCCCCCCCCCCCCCCCCGTCTCTTTAACTGATGTGTTCACTTCAGATGTGGACGATGGGGATACAGTCACAGATTTCATGGCTCAAGAGAGGGAACGAGGCATCACCATACAGTCGGCTGCAGTCACATTCGATTGGAAAAGTCATCGAATCAACCTGATCGACACTCCAGGTACAAACAAACAGCGTGACGGGAAGTAAACACGTCTGTGGATTACGACTTACTGTTCATGTGTCTGCCCGTGTGTTCGACTACAGGACACGTCGACTTCACGCTGGAGGTGGAGCGAGCACTTCGCGTTCTTGACGGCGCCGTGGCCGTGTTTGATGCTTCTGCTGGTGTCGAGGTGAGCTGTCTGCTTCTTTTTTATTACTACAAACATGTTTGGGATCATTGTTTTCCATCATGTGCCGCCATGACAACCTCTTGTTTAAAGCAGTAAAGTTATTGTTATTCTGATTAAATGTGGCTGAACGTAAGAGCGGAGCCGATGTTGGAGTATTACCTGTATTTCCTGTACAAGAAAGAAGCCGCCTGCAAACCTTTTGCATGTCACATTGGGCAGAAATGTTTATTGTTTATTTGGATCCCCATTAGCCACTACCTAAGTAGTGACTACTCTTCCTGGGGACAACTCATACAAACATGAGTTTAAAATCCACACATATTAAATTATGAAAACAAAAAAAGTCCAAGACGGAACAGAAAAAGACAAAAGTAGAAATAAATGACAAACACAACAACAGGCAAAGTACAAATCAATCATCAATGCAATCAATAAATACAGTGTTGGACAAATCTTAGAATTATGTTCCTACTTAAAACACAGCAGAGTAACTAAACGATGACATACAAGACAAACATATACACATATGCTGTTTGATATTGATACCATATACTTTATTGTCCCCTTGGGGAAATTTGGCCGCTCTATTGGTTCATTTCTGTCTCCTCTGTAATCAGTTTTATATCCACCCCTGAAAAATCCTCCAAAACGAGCTGTTTTTATTTGATTACTGTGATCTCTGGCCTGACAACGCTTCCTTCTGTGTTTTTCTCCATGAACACACCACCAGGCTCAGACTCTGACGGTGTGGAGACAAGCAGAGAAGCACCACGTTCCCTGTGTCTGTTTCCTGAATAAGATGGATAAACCTGCAGCAAAGTGAGCGACCAAACGGCCCGACCCAAAACACAATACTTTTTTTTTTTTTTTCAACATATTTTTATTAAAGAAAGTTCAAGACATACAGTGCAATTGGGATGCAGTTCAACATTTTTCTTTTTTTTTCCCCAGAAACATTCAAAAACCCAGTATCACTTCTCCCTATAAACAACCCTCCCAGTCCAACAAATAGACCTCTTAGTTCACAGACAAGAATAAAAGTGCAAGAGTGGAAAACTCACAAAAAATTAAATACAATAACTTAATAAAAATAAATGGATAAGCGTGAAAAAAAGTACATTTAAGAAGAGTAGTATCAAAAAAATAAATAATAATAACGATACAAAATGACAAGACAAACATAAATAAATGAACAAACAACATTAACAGGAATGAAAGTCAAAAACACAAAACTTTTAACTTTTAACTTTTTTAAATCTCTGTAACCTCTTTTTATTTTTCCCGCCCTTTAGCCTCAGTTTTTCCATCGAGAGCATAAAGCGGAAGTTGAAAGCCAATCCAGTCCTGCTGCAGGTAAGACAATGGAAAAAAATCACAGACAGATTAAGAAAGAGAAACTTTCACATGCTGTCAGAAATATTACTTTGATACGTTTTGCAGAAGCAAATAAAAATTCAGATAAATGACGCTGAAGCCGTGGTTTGTCTTTTTAATAAAGAAGTTGACATGAAAACGCTAACATGCTGGTTTCTCACCTTCTAGGTTCCTGTCGGCTGTGGCAAAAACTTCTCAGGTGTGGTCGACTTGTTAACAAACCAGAAGCTAACATGGAAGCAAAGATCTATGGCAGAGGACGGACAAATGTTTGAAAGCAAACCTCTAGACCAATCAGACGATCCGGAGCTGCTGCAGGAGGTCGCTGAGGCGAGGGCAGCTCTGATAGAGCAGGTACGCGTCACAACATTTACAAGCAGTATGGAAACTAATGATCCAGGTTTTTACTCTCTGATTAACACTTGTGCTCTCCGTCACAGGTTGCCGATCTGGACGACGAGTTTGCAGAACTGCTGCTGACTGATTTTAGTGCCAATTTCGACGCCGTTCCCTCCATCAAGGTGAGAGATTTTCTGCGCACTACCACGATGTAATCACATGAAGAAGAGTCAGTGAAAACAGGAGTTAACCCCGATAATGTTCTCCAGCTGCAGGAGGCCGTGCGGCGGGTGACTCTGGCCCGTAAAGGCGTCCCGGTTCTCTGTGGGAGCTCGCTGAGAAACAAAGGAGTTCAGCCTCTTTTAGACGCCATCAACGCCTACCTGCCCGCACCTGATGAACGCCACCATGACCTGGTGTGAGTGTGAACTCTTCAACCCCGTAATTAACTTAGACCAGAGATTTAACCGTGCTGATTGAAGGCATGACTTAAAGTCCATCTTAAAGTGTGTTTTCTGTTCTTTGATTTGACTTTTCTTTGGAATTTTCTGGTTTGGTTGTTTGTTTTTTTAAATCAACAGCAAAGGTTTCATTTTCTGCTCTATTTCAGCTTCATGGACAGAATGTTTTTTGGTTTCTAGACTGATTTGGGATTTGAACATAACCGTCGAGTAAAAGCAAATATCAGGAGGTTTTATTTCCACTAGGGCTGGGCGATATGAACCAAAACTCATATCTTGATATTGTTCAGCTGAATGGCGATACTCGATATATATCAATATGTATTATTAACAGTGAAAACACATGGAAAAATAAACTACCT